GGATGTAACTAAACAGGTGCTGGACGTGGGGTCAGAAGCCTGGGTTGAATCCTAGCTCTGTTGCTCATTAACAGAGCTCTTAGAATGCCATCCTTGGACCTCTGCTTCAGAAGGCCAAGTTAATCACACACTTCGGATAAGAGAAAAACCGCCTTTGGTCTCTAGCCCCTGCCTCCGGGTCACCCCATGGTTCAAATGCTGGGACTTTATCGAGAACTGCGTCCTTCAGGGAACTTCCATTTTCATGTGGCGACATCTGCCCAACACATCCTGTTTTCTCCCCTCGCCCTGTCTAGGCCACCAACAATCCATCCTGAAATCCACGGATCCTACCACCTTTCCGGCTCCCCCTGCCCGCTGTGCCCTGGGGGGGGGGGGGGGTTCCACGGTTTCTCGTGGCAACCACGCTCTTCTCGGCAGCTGGCCCCCTGGCCCTGCTCTCGCTTGATCCTTTCTGCCAGGCAAATCCCCACCCCTGCACTTGGAGTGGCTGGAAGAGGAAAAGACTCAGGCTCCCCAGCTGACCATGGCCACCCCTCAGCGGGGACCTGATGCGGACTGGCAGACCCATGCTCTCGCCCAGGCTCACACCTCCTCTCCTCCACCTCGGCGCCCTCTTCCTGCGCTTCACTCTCAGCTGAGGACAAACACTGCTGCTCATGTCTCTGGAAAACAGAAGCTGGCGGAAGAACACTTCCTTGGAAGGACACCGAAGACCTAATGGATTACCTGCGCAGGTCACCTGCCCCTGCGACTCAAGGGTCTCTCCCGCTCCTGCCAGGCCAGGCCTCCCTGCGCACGTGACCCCGCCCTCTGGATTCCTCTAGGCCTTCACACTTGTGTCGTTCTCCTCTCTTCCTGCCACATCACCTTTCCAGTGTCTCCTGGCTTGCTCCGATCAGCACACACGCGGTCTCACAGCTCCTTGCCTGGGTCCCACCCGCTCCGCAGTGTCTGCCCCATTTCTCTGCTCCTTTTATAGCAGAACTCCTTGGAACAGTGGCCTCCGCTTCCTCTGCTCCCATACACCTGCGTCGCTCCAGCTGGGCTTTTGTCCCCAACACGCTGTCTTGTCTCTTGAAACTGCTTTTGTCTAGGTCACCAGTGACCTCCACTTGACCAGTTTCAAAGGTCAATTCTAGTCTATATCTTCACTGACTGCAGCATTTGGCTAACGGCAAATCAGGCCCTCGCCCTGGGAAAGCTGTCCTCTCTTGCCAGGATGCTGTCTCAGTGTTTGCCTCCGGCCACGCTGCCCTCCTCACTCTCCTTTCCCACTTTTTCTCACCACCCGACCTCTACTTCTGCATATTCCAGGGCTCTGCTTGTCTCTCCACACTCCTCCCTGGGATCCCACCCAGATGCCTGGCTTTAAAAGCCATCCACATTTTTCTGGTTCCCAAATGCACATTCCCCACTTCGCACTGCATCCAGGCTGGTCTCCCCACTGCCTGCTCCGAGTGACACTTGGATGTCTCCCCGGTGTCTAACTGAGCTCCTGGGTGCCCCCCGCCCCCAGAGTCTTCCCACTTCACTAAACAACGGCTCTCGCGTTCCAGTGGCTCAGGCCACCACTTAGAATTATTCCTGATTCCCTTCCTTATCGCAAACCCCACATCTAATCAGCAAATCCTGTCAGCTTCACCTTCACAACTTACCTGGAATCTGTGTGCTTCTCCCATCTCCTGACTTCTCCGATGCCCTGTGTCCTCTCCCCTGGATGGTTGGTGACACCTTCTAACTGGCCCCCCAGCTTCCACCCTGGCCTCTGCGGGTCCATTCTGCACACCAAAGACACAGCAATCCCTTTAAAATGTGAAGAAGATCGGTCCTTTGCCCACATGATCAGTGGCTTCCCTTCTCAGGCAGAGACTCCCCCACCCCAACCCTGAGGCCCTACAGGTGGCTCCTGGCTCACCTCCAGTGCGGGTTGTTCCACTCTCCTCCCCTTTCTGCACTCCATTCAGGTACGTGTTTGTCCTGGCCGTTCCCTTCGCCTGGAACACTCTTCCCTTAGGCACTGGCACAATAGCTGTCTTGCCCTTACCCAGATCTCAGCTCACACGTGCCCTCTTCAGTGAGCTCCCTCTTTTTCCATCCGAAGTAGCAGTCTCTGCTCATGCTCCCTTGAAGCTATCGTGAAGCTATTTTACTTTCTTCATAGCACTCACCGTTATCTGAAACAACCATACTTATTTCTTTACTTGTGTATTATCCATCTTCTTCCCCACCAGAAGGAAGTTTGTTGGTACAAACTCTGTCCCCGGTAGTTAGCACAGGTCCCACCACCTGGTTGCCTGGGTTGCCACAGAAGGTTGTAAAGGTTGTTCACTGCACCAGAGCTCCTGGCCGAGGAGCTGGTGGGAGCTGATACAGCCGCCTGCTATCTTGCAATGTGTGCCATGTGGACTGGCTGTGGCTCGGTGGGGGGCATTCAAATAATATTCATTGAATAAATGACTGAATGATGGATGTGCAGAGCCTTTGCTTATTGTCTTCTGCAAGGGGCAGAGCCTGCAAAGCCTGGGAGGCCAGGGAATAGAGGAGAAAACAGTCTGGTGTGGCTGGAGCAGAGGGTGAAGGTGTTGCCCAGGCAAGGTGGGAGAGGTGGAAAGGGTCATTGGCGGTGAGCATTCAGATCCATCCTGAGACATTCCAGGCCATGCACGAACCTGCCTGCTCCTTCCAGCTGGTTCTACCACGCCCCCCACCTGCAATCCCTCTCGGTAGCCCTGGCTGCAGCCATGCCCTGCGGGTCCCTGTGAATTCCAGTACCTCTAGGACTGAGCAGGGGCAGTCCTTCCTTCCTTAGGTGTTTACTGAGAGCCTGCCCTGGGTCAGGCACTGTGCTGGGTGCTGGGAGCCCAGAGGCTGTCAAAGCTTGGCCTCGCCCTGGGAGAGCTCCCAGGCTAAGGGGGTGGGGCGGGGTGGGGGCAGCGGGAGGCGGGGAGGCAGTGCCGGAAGAAATGATCACAGATCCCTAGAGAAGTGCTGCACAGAGGGTGCTCTGGGCTCAGAAGAGGCGGGGCTTGTAGGTAGAAGGCTGCAGGGAAGGTGACTCCTGAACTGGGTGTTGAAGGACAAGGAGGCGCCAGGCCCAGGGACAAACAAGGAGGCAACCGGGAGTCGGGGAGCACCGCGGGAGAGGTTCAGAGTCTGGCTTGTGGGGTCGCAGGATCCTTGAGGTCCAGACAAACACACACATGCACACACACACGTTTGCAGGCAATTTTGGAGTGTTCTTAGTCCCTCTGGTTTTGCCTGGGAAGAATGCCCTTCCTTCTCTCTGGTTCCAGCCCACCGCCTTCACGGGCCTGCAAAACTCCCTGCAACTCTGGACTTTGTACCTGTTACCGGAAATTCACTTGTTTATTGGGGCCACCAGCCTGAGCAGCTGTGTGCTGCGGTGTCTGCCCCTTCTAGGGCCCACTGAACCCCTCTCTGGATCCCAGCTGTACCACCCCCAGCATGGGGATGGGGGTGAGGACTGAACCCATAAAATTCTTGTCAAAAGCTTGGGAAGATACAGAATGAGTCCTCCCTATTGGAAGCGCTGCCTGCTGCCCCGCCTCCGCCCCACCTGCAGCTTGCCCCACCTGCTGCCTCCACAGGTGAGTCAAGTGGCAGCTCGGGCCCGCCCACCACTCCAGGTTCTGCCGGCCCCAGCCGGAAGCTTCCTCCACGGACTATGTACAGTTCCTGACGGTGGGAGCAGAGGGGGAAGCCACTGGGGGGCTGCGAGGGGGTACCCAGGCTCTGCAAGATCCCCAGGGGCTCCTGGCAGCAGGAAAGAGGTACAGATCAGAGCGGGGTATGTGTGTGCAGAGCAGGGGCATGCGCTTGTTAGTGGAGGAAAGTGTGACCTGAGGGGGTGGGGTGACATGTGTGTGTGCGTGTGTGTGTGTGTGTGTGTGTGTGTGTGTGTGTGTGTGTGCAGGGGGACGGGCAGCTCAGTGTGGGCTGTGAGTTCAGAGGCCTTTTGGGGAGTGTGTATGTGCCCTTGGAAAGTTATGGTACCTGTATGTTTGTGTGTGTCTGTGTCTCCTTGGGAAGAATTCCCAGGGACAGGGCGGGGAGGAAAGGAATAGGCGTAAAGTCTTAGAAACGTCAAATTGGATTCAATTCATTCCAATTTAATAAATCGTCATTATTTGAGGACCTAGTGCCGGGGGTGAGGCCCACAGTAGGCTAATGAATGAACCAGCAGTTTACTGCTCCTTCCTAAGGCGCCCCCACCCCCTTCATCTCACACGCTTGGCTCTGAGTGGCTGAGTGCCCAGCTCCGTGCGGCACCAGGGCACAGATGTATCAGCCAGTCCTGGCCCTCGGGGAGCTGTCCGCCTGGCAATGGCCAGTTCTGACTGGTGGTTGACTGGGCAGGACAGTGCTGGGGTCACCTGGGGGTGGGACCCTGGGACAAGCTCACGGGCAAGTATGGTCTGATTTGGCTGTGCTGGGCAGGGGTCCGAAAGGCTGAGGAGGGGAGTGTCCGGGAAGCGAGAGGGTGGGTGAGTCTGGAAGGGTGTGCTAGCCGTCTGGGTGTGGGGGAGGGACCTGCGGGGAAGAGGGGGAGGGGCGGCTTGAGGACCACGGGCTGGCTTGCAAGGCTTGAAGGACGCTCTGAGGAGTCTGCAGGCAGCGCTGAGGGTACGGGGAGCTCTTGACGGAGTTTTAAGCAGGCAAGTGATGGGGGCAGATTTGGGCTTTCGACCCATCACTCTGGGGGACAGAGCAGAGGTGGGGAGAGACCAGTGGGAGATTCTGGCTAGAGTCAAGGTCTGGGGTGAAGGTGGCTTGGACTCAGCAGTGGCAGCAGGTGGGGAGGAGGGGCAGAGTCGTTCCAATGATATTTAGAGGAAGAACTGATAGGGCTTGACGCCAGGTTGGACATGAGGAGCGAGGGTGTCTTTAAAGTATCTGTGTCAACGAATATGACAGATAACTCCCCTCAACTAGGTGCTTCTCTCCTAGGCGCTTCTCTAGCCTGGCTACTCTGCTCCCAGTGACTCCCTGGAATCTGGTACATACTCTCCAGCCCTAGCTGCTCCTCCAGGTATGTCTCTAACGCTGCTGCTCTTCCTCTAGAGACTCCCCAGATTCAGGTGGGCCTCCCCAGACACACCTTTGATTCAGGTGCTCCTCCTCCAGGTGGTCCCAAGCCTAGGCGATCTTCCTCTTGCTACTCCCCTAATCCAGGCATTCTTCCTCTAAGTGTTCTGGCCCTGGGGATTCCCATCCAGGTAATTTCCTGGCTCAGGTGATGCTCGTTTGGATGCTCCATGGCTCAAGCCTCCCTCTGGGGGCACAGTGTGGCGTCTGATGGGTAGAGGTGGATGGACAGGGGTTTGAGGTGGAGGAGCAGTGGCTCCCACTCAGGAACAGAAAGGCCTCTGCCCTGGGTGGGGACATGCATCATGCTCCCCATGTGTGGTCTCCACTTGGCTGGGGAGCCAGGACCTACCTCTGCCCCATCTCCTGTCGTCAGCTTGCCAAGTGGTACGGCAGGCTGGGCTCTGGTGCAATCTGGGGTTTGGTTGAGTCAGTTCACCATTCTCGGCCTTAGAGCCCTCATCTGCAAAGGGGGGTAATGCTCACACCCACATTACGGGGTTTTATGAGCCTGGTGCCTGAATCATAAGGAGTGCGCAATAAGTTCTAGAATTTATTTATTTTTCTAGTATCTTCTAGAGCTGGACTCTGCAACCGTCCCTTACAAATGGCCAGTTGCTGTGGGCTCAGCTTGTTTCTCTTCTGTGGACACCTGGTGTGGCCAGCTCTTTCGTCCCCAGCATTTGTGCAGCACCAACATGGCTGCGAGTGTGACCTGGCGCGTGCACCCTGCGGCCATCCCTGACACCTACACGTCCCTGTATTTTCCAGGACTGGCGCCCTGGGGCTGCCTCACATCTGGGGTGTCTCCTTGGAGCCGGGCTCTTTCTGGAGGCTGAGGTTCACCAGCGTCGTCAGGCTCCTCCATGAATGAGACAAACCAAAGTGAGTGGCCATGGGGCGGTGACTGGGGGAGGCTGCCCTTAGATGCTGGGCTTAGTGGGAAGGACCCTGCCTGCACTCCTCTTGGTGTCCCCAGAGAGCCCCATCTGAGGCTCACACATGATGCTGTCCTTTTCTCCACAGCCATTATGGGGCCCTCAGAGCTCCCCACGGCATCAGCCATGGCCCCTGGACCAGGCACTGGGGTCCGGGCATGGCCGGTGCTGGTTGGGGTTGTGCTGGGGGCTGTGGTCCTCTCTCTCCTCATCGCACTTGCTGCCAAATGCCACCTCTGTCGCCGGTACTATGCCAGCTATCGGCACCGCCCACTGCCTGAGACAGGGAGGGGGAACCGCCCAGAGTTGGGCGAAGATGAGGATGATGATGGCTTCATTGAGGACAATTATATTCAACCTGGAGCCAGCGAGCTGGGGACAGAGGGTAGCAGGGAACACTTCTCCCTCTGAGCCCCAATCTTTGGACACTGCCCCCTCCCTCCATACCTGACAGCTTAAGGACAGTGGCTACTACGTGGGAGCCTTGAGTCTCAGGGACAGAGACAGAGGGCTTAAAGGTTGACCAGGGGTTGAGCAATCCTCCTTTCCCTAACATTAGCCACCAAAGTGACAATGACTTCTCTTTTGCTCAATAACACTCAATGGCTCCTTGCTGTTCTCAGGACAAAGCCTAACAAAGGCTTGAGTATGGAAAAAGTCCCTCTGTAATCTGCCCTCTTGATTTCCTTCCTTGCCTCTCCCTGTGTGACTAAATGTTTGTCATTCCCCGCACACCACCCCATGCAGTTTCTCCATGTACCTCTGTTCACATTGTTCCCTTGCCTAAACCCTCTATGACAGTGATGAAAACCCCAGTCACTAGGCCCCGCGTGGCCTGCCTACTTGCCAGCATTTCAAATGTGCTCAGATGATAACATTTGGGCAGGTGAAAACCAGTGCCAAGCTCCTTAATGAAATTTTTTCCTATCAATGAAGTGGGTATTCTGGTTATAATATATTATGTTTTTCACAGGGATTAATAAACCTATTTTCATTTTGAATAAAAAGTCATAGCTCATTTTTATTTTTCTTGAACTGAAACTTAACACTCATAGCTGGAAGACACTGCTCAGACGTCCCCTCCTCCAGGGCACCTTCCATGAGCCCATTCCTCTCATAACACCCTGTGAGTCCTGGCCACATTTTATTTTAATCTTTATTACAATGTGCACTTACCCCTTGCTGCGCCTGTCCCCACAGCCAGACTGAGCTCTCTGGGGTCCCCGGCTGTGTCTTGTTCTGTATCCTCAGATTCTTGCACAAGGCAGATGGCAGATAAATAGTCTGACTCACTGTGGCTGAGAGTGAATGATGAAAGGTGAGGAAGTGGAGTCCGACGTGGAAGACTTTACAAGAGTCTTGATGAGAGGGGAGCACAGAGTCGTAGTGGCTGGTGGGGAAACTGAGCAAGGGAGGTAGGTTTAAGGTGGGAGACACTTGAGTTAAGCTGCTCTCTATTTGCAACCAACATAAAGAATTTGGGGGAAAATCCTGGCTGTGGCACAGAATCAAAGGGACAGCTGACTCGGGAGGGCAGGAAGCCAGGTGGTCCCAGCAGCCAGAGGTCAGTCATTGTACCTCTAGCGCTCTGTCACTTAGGGGCACAGGACTCCCAAACTCTGGATGCCAAGTTTCAGTTCTCAGGAAGAGAATCTGTTTAGCCCAGTTTGGGTAAAGTATCCACCACTGGTCCAATCAGCCAAGGCGGGTTGGGGGCGCAGCACATCTGTGGTTTGGGAGCCCACTCATTCATTGCAGGTCATTCCCAGACAAGGGCAGTCCTCATGGGCCAGGCGGCCACCCCCACCTGTGTTCTCCCGCACGTGGTGTCAGCCTTTGAGGAAGGAGCCAGCAGAGAAGGCAAGTGTGCCATGGCTAACGGGCGAGGTGCTTGAGGAAGAGGCAGGGGGATAAGGGGCGCCCACGGCAGTGAGGAAGCCCGGGGTGGACCGGATGGGTGAGGGCCTCGGATGCCAGGACGCAGAGCTCACATTTCAACCTGAGTTCAGGCTCGTCTGTGGCAAGGGAGTATCATAATCATAATAGGGAAGTCCTTCTGGCTGCTGTGCAGAGAGGGGTTGGAGGGGAGAGACAGGGAGGGAGGTGATTAGACCTGATTAAGGTGTGGCATGGGAACAGAGACTCCAGGGACGGGAGGGAAGCAGAGTTGACTTTGGATATGGGGAGTAGGAAGGCATCAACAAAGCTGCCCTGGCTTCTGATGGGGTGGCTGGGTGCACTGAGGAAGAACAGGCTGGGGGAAAGGGGGTTCAATGTTGGATGCAGGATTTCCATGGGGAGGTGCCCAGGGATAGCCGGGTTCCCAGGGGAGAAGTCCAGGCCAGTGACGTGGGTTTGGGAATACTCAGTATTCGCGTCATTGAGGGCAGGAGTGGATGAAATCTCCAGGGCAGGGCGGAGCGGGAGGAGGTGTTGAGGACCTAGTGGGGGACATGCATGGAGTATCAGCAGAGGAGACTGGGAGGAAGCAGCCAGAGGGGGGGAGGGAGACCAGCTTACGTAGCCCTAGGCCGGCAGTCGTTCCTGAGTCCAGAGACACATGGGAGGAGCAGAGGCTGCCCCGGCAGCAGACCTAAGGGGCTGAGGGCATGTATGGCCTCCAAGGGAAGAGCTGCTGCCCCCACCCACAGGCTCCTTCGATCCTCGCACAGAGAGGCTGCCTAGCATGCAGTTCTGTGCCGAGAGCGGCTCGGCTGTCCCTGTTTTCACGTACTCTTTGGGACCCCAGTAAAGGCCTCTGAAGGATCCAGGAGAGAGTGAGGGCCAGAACCCAGATCAGCAATTGCTCCTCCCAAGCCCGTACCCCACAAGGGTCCACAAGCTGGGGCTTCCTCAGACAACCTACAGTGGGTGACAAGACTGGCTGAGCAGGGCCCTGGAGTCACAAGAACCCCGGACCCTGTCCTTCATGACCACCTGTGATTAGAGGACTCTTTCCCACTGTGTTCTGTGTTCCGCATGCCTGGCCCCAGATGCAAAGACAGCATGGCCTGGGTCCACAGGCTCAAAGGGCTGGGGGTGCTGGAGCTGCTTGGGGGCCTGAGATTCGGCCAGGCCCTCTCTGCTGTGGCCCCTCCAGCGTCAGGCCCAGCCTGGCCCTACACCTTGTCGCCTACTCCCCAGCAGCTGCTACTGCCTACTCTGCCCTGGGAACCCCAACCCAGACCTGACCATGGGGGTCAATCCAGACACCTGCTGCCTCAGCCTGCTGCCTGGAAGGACAAAGCCATGTAGCTTATCCTGGGTGAAGGGCACAGAAATTCCAGCAGTGGTGAAGTGAGTTGAGAGCACAGGTTACTTGGATTCAAATCCCAGCTCTGCCATGCACATGCTGTGGGGCCTTGGGCAAGTTACTTAGCACCTCAGTGTTCCAACCTCTCAGTAAGATGGGGGTCCTAACATCACCTACCTCCTATGGGTGTTAGCAGGAGTAAGTGAGTTTCTATGCAAAATGGAATAGAGCAAGTGCTAGTTACATCACTAAGGGCACCCCCAGGGCACTGGCTCCCCACAAGGGGTAACCGGTGTTAATCCTGAGGGAGGAGATGCCAAGCCTCCTCCTGCCTCATTTACTTCCTGGCTGGGGATTTGAACATCTCTGTTTCTCAGGACTCAGATGGTAAGATCTGGTCAGGAGAGCAAAGGATTTGAATTAGAATCTCTGATGCTGCAGAATATAATAACACAAACAACAACACTAGTATTAGTGTTCTAAGGCACTGATGTTGTTCTAGCGCTTTCTTCTAACAGTCCTGCTGGGCAGGCAACCCCCTTTCATAGGTCGAGATGCTGCTCAAGCAAGTTAACTGCAAGTGCCTGCTTCACCCAGGAGTAACGCTGTGATCTCACTGCGGAGAAATGATAAAACAGACTCAGGAAGCTCTCGCTTGTCGGACTCGCTCCTGTCTTGCTTGGGCTGGCTCCTCCCACCCCCAGCGAATGGGGCTGAGAAGTTTCAGGGTGCAAGCTCCAGTCTGGGGGAGCAGGCCGTGAAGGCAGAGCTGGCAGGTCTCATCGGTGTCTGGGCCTGGCCCTCAGCATCTGTGGCCCGTCCCTGGGGCTGCTGCCAAGGCTGTGCCCAGGAGAGTCTCACAGTCCTCTGGAGAAGAGCCAAGAAGGCAGCCCCTGTCCTTGCGGAGGAATCGGGGCATGAGGAGACATGTGCAGGTCCCCTGGGGCCTGGAGGATGCTCCTCAGGGGAAACTTGAGCGTCCCGAGAAAGCCCCGGTCTCCTGTGGGATGGGACTGGATATGATGTGAGGACCACCTGGACTGGCCCGGATTTGGCAGTTTCTAGAATGTATTCTTCCAGTATCAGACATGCAGGTGACACGGCTGAGCACCTGGAGTTTGTTAAGCCCAGGAGGGACATGTGTCAGCTTTCTCTACACTTCGCCTGCCACCTGATGGGAGCCTCTAGGCTCAGGCCGCTCTCCCCTGTCTCCCCATCAGCCCCTTCTCGCCTTTTCTCTTCGTTCGAAACCAGTTTGGATTTCAGGGTCTGGCCGCTTCTTCGTGCTATTCCTTCTTCCTGGGATACTCTTCCCACCCTCGCTAGCTTGGCAGCTTCTCATCCCTCGGTGGCCAGCCAAGATGGGCTGTTTGGCTATTTCTGGGGTTGTTTGGCCATTTCGTCTTATTTTTCTAAGGCCAATCCCCAGCTCCATACGGCAGCCACCAAGTCCCAAATCCTGTCTGGCCACAGGACTCTACTTCCCTGGTTAAAATCTTTCCATGGTTTTCAGTTCCTGAGGACAAAGTCCGAATTCCTCTGCTGGGTGAGTGATGAGTTGCAGAAGTTCAGCCAGATAGTAAGGCGGGGTGAAGACAGGAGGGGCAGCTTTAGAGGGAGCAAGCGGAGAGGCTGGTGGGCCGCTGATTGTCACGTAGACCGAGGAGGGCTTTAGAGAAATGGTTTGAGCTGGCGGAAGGCAGAGGCTGTGGGAAGTCTGCTTTCGTGACTGAGGAGGTGGAAGCATTTCTGCCCGGCCTGTGCCTCCACCCAGCTCGTACTGTCACTGTCTCCCGTTAGAGTTGGGTGTACAGGTGCCGACTTCCGCTACCTTGTGGGCTAAGCCCTTTAGGGGCACAAGCCCTCATCTCAACCTCACATTGTCCCAGGAGAGGCTGGCGCTGGCCTTGCCCACGGCAGCTGCTCCATCAGGGGTTTATGCTAACGCTCCCCCTCCCCACCTTCTAGGCCCTGTGCATCTGTTTTCCTTTAGTTTCTTAAAAGAAATATTGTGAGAATTGTGAAACAGTCTGACCTTGTCTCAGATGAAAGGAAAAGGAATTTCTCCCCATACTACAGACGGGCGTTCTGTGGTCCTCTAACAGCCCCGGAGCTGGTCATAGTGAGAGATCCCTTTGGGAACCCGGGAAGAATGAGAACTTCTGGGGTAGAGAGCACAGGGCCTCGGGGGGCCAAAAGATTCCGGGACAACAGGGGTAGTGGCCTAACTCCCCCTGCCCCAAGTTATAGGGGGTCTCTCCCTGCCCCTTGCACACACTTGCCTGCTGGCCAAGCCGGAGTTCTTCCCCCATCCAACAAAGCACCGACTGTGCGTCCGGCTCATGCCGGGAACTAGGGGTGCACAGACAAGTGGGCGCAGACCCCGTGGGAGGAGCTCACCTCCTGATCGGGGAGACAGGCACACAGAGAAAGAGCCACAGACGGGAGCCACGATGCAGGTGTTACGGGCACAGGTGAGGGCAGCTCACGAGTTTAAGGGGAGAGGGTCAGGGAAGACGCCACAGAGGATGTGGAGAAGAACAAGGCAAAGAGAACAGAACATCCAAGGAAGTGAGAGAACACGGCAAGTTCGTGGCTCGTAGGGAGAGTGAGACCAAACCGTGTCAGGGAGCCTGTGAGAGATGGGGAGCCGTTGGAAGGTTTTAAGGTAGATTTTCATTTTGGTTTTTAGGACAATCACTGTGGCTCAAGCGTGTGTGTGTGGGGGGGTGCGGCTGGGAGAAGGGGATTTGAGAGGAGAAGAGAGCAAACGCAGGGAGAATAGTAAGGAGGATGGTGTGCGAGTCGAGCAAAGAGAGAGGGTCCCTTCGAGGTAGTGGGTATGAAAACGTGGGTTCAAGGTCTGCGAGGGGAGCCAGAGGAGTTGGTGATTTGCGATTGGACTTGTGTGTAGAGAAAGTCAAGCTGCCATGGCTGTCTTGGGCCGCCCGAGGTTTCTCGCCTGGATGCCTGCTGAGCGGTGGCACCTCCAGACGGGACGGAGGAGCTAGTTAGTTCCAGATGAGAGGAGGAGGATTTCGAATACGCTGAGCAGAGTGGCCCATAGAACACCCAGGGAGAGGTGTGTCCTTGGCGTTCTGTCCTTCTCTCCTGGTCTCCTCTGGCTGCTCCCTCCCACAGTTTGCGACACCTTTGCCCTCACCGTCAGCCCAGCATTTTCTCCAGGAGACATCCTTGACCTTGCCTGCTGAAAGCAATTTTTTCTCATCAAAGCCTCTGTAGCTCTAGGGTAACGTCTCTTTGGAGACAGGTCTCCTTTCCCTGCCTCTCATGGGTATCTTCCACGGGGCTCCGTGCAACCCGCACCTTGCAAAGCAGGAAGTGATGACAAAGTAACCTTGGGCACTGCTTCCAGTGGAACTTTATTGTTGCCACCCCAGGAAATGTAACCGCACACCACAGAAGGGGAGCTCCCTTCCACGGCTGACTCCAAGCAGGAAGTGACTCTTACCTGCCCAGGAGCCCAGGAGCCCAGGAGTGGGCCAGCTGGGGCAGGGACTGCAGACGCAGGATGTTCTGGTTCAGGGGTGGGGTGGGGAGCTGCAGGGAAGCAGCTGAAGGGATGCAGTGTGAGGGAGGAGCATTCTGCAGAGAGACCAGCTCCCGACAGCCCAGTACCGAAGACCTCATCCTGAACCCGCGAGCGAGCAAACGCGAAGGACTCCTGTCCCCACACCATCTCCCCGGGACAGCAAACCCACCGCCTTCCCAAAGCTCAGCATCCACTCAACCTGCTCCCCTCCAGTGCCTGGCTGAGGGGACCTCTGCGGCGCTGGGTATAAGGCTGAGACAGGAGCGAAGAGCTCACTTTGGACAGGTGGGGCGTGGGGGAGGGGGTCTCTGGGGTGAGATGGTGAGGCGATGACAAGACCGTAGCAGCCACCATTTTATGGCACATCTGCCATGAGTCCAGTCCTTCCATACACTTGACGTTTAATCCTCACAGTCGATGACAACCACGAACTGCAAGCGCCTGCGGCTAGAGAGGCTAAGTAACTTGCCCCAGTCCCCCAGCTGCCGAGTGCTCCGGGGGGAGGCCACGCTAGGTCTGTCCTGTTCCAGAGCCCCTGTTCCTCCCACTTTGCCACCAGTTACTCTCCTCGACGGGTGGTCCCTGGTGCCGTCTGGGGTGGGCAACAGTCATCCCTGTGGAAAGCCCTGGTGGGTGCTGCAGGACAGGGTTTGAGGGGTGCTGGAAATGGGGGCCAAGAATGTTCAGGGACCCCAGACACAGACAGGCTGTTCCATGCACACAAATACTCCATTCCAAGGAGGCACACACTAACCGTCCCGGGGTGTGGATGTGTGGGCGCACACGGGCTCTTAATCACATATCACACAGTCCCACCGAGGGCTGCCACAGCTCTGGGCACACGCTCACTAGCCACACACGTATGCACATATGCACCACGCACGCACACACCCAGCACGATTCTGGGTCGCTGAGGCAGGTGGGGGGAAGGGCTCCGACTCTGTCAGATGAGGTTGGCGATGCTGGATGTGGTCTCGTGACGCTGGCCAGCAGACAACTGTCCTGAGATGCTGAAGATGCTGCCATTGCCACCGTGGCCCCCTTGGGTGGAGGGGGTGGCTGTACAGATGGAGGCGCAGTGTCCACTCACGCCCACCTGATACAGCAGCAAGCCCAGCAGCAAGAGCGAGCCCAAGGCAGCCAGAGCGATGCCCACCGACAGCATGGCGGCCAGGGGCCGAGCAGGAGCTGGGGCGGCGGCCAGCCCCGCCAGGGTCAGGCCGGTGACCAGCAGCACGAGGCCGCTGAGCAGCACCACGAGGGCATCGGCCCCTCCGCCGCTGCGCAGCAGGGCCACATGGTGGGCCTGGCGTATGCAGTTCATGTCCTGCACGGCCGAGCTCATCAGCTGCTTGACCAGAACCAGCAGGGCCAGCAGGCAGAGCACGGTGCCGGTCGCTAGGCGCCACTCGCCTGAGCGGCTGCTAGTGGACGACAACAGGACCACGCCACCTGCCCCACAGCCTGCCACGAGGCACACGGCCACGGCGAAGCAGAGCGCCGAGCGCCGCGGCTGCTGGGACCACCACAGCTCCACCTGCTCCGCCAGCACATCCGGGGGCAGCCCCTGGGTCCCCCGGGCTTGGGCCTCCTGTTCAGACATGGCGTGCTCAGGCAGCCGTCAGGGCAGAAGGGCAGAGTCAGGGGTCAGAGGGTGCAGTTCATGGCCTGGTGCCCCCACAACCTGCTTGGCAGCTGCAGGCCCAGAGTCCCATTCCTCTTGCAGTGCAGGCTGTGGTCCCCATCACCTGCAGGGGAAGAATCACTGTCTTACCTCCCCAGCCCACCTGTGCCTCATGGTTACACCTGGGAGCCTTGGGGATGACCCCTGAGAATCCTCCCCATGTCCCCTGGAATCCCCCCCAGGAAAGCCCCCTCCCCAGCTCTGTCCCCTGGGAAAGCCTCTCCTGTGACCCCAGGAGAGTTCCCACCCCCGACAGTCCCCCCCAGCACCCTTTGGGGAATCCCCTTGCCCGGCCTCTGACCTCTCTGGCTCTGGCTCTCCCAGGCGCCTGTCCCATCCCGGCTGGCCAAGGGAGCTGGTGCCACGGTGGACGATGGGACGAACAGCCAGAGATAAAGCCTCATTCAGGATCCTACTCACATGGCCTCAGCTGTCACTGCTGGTTCCTGGGGGGAGCTGTGGGGAGGGATGGGGGCCTATGACTTAACCCTTCTGGAACCAGAAGCCTGGCTCTGCATCTTCTCTCTTAGGCTGTCTCCTCCTTCTCTGTGGTTTAGGGTCGGACTCTGGCACCCCCTCCCCTGACATCCCAACCAATCTTACAGCCTGACTTTGGCGCTATAAACTGCTGGTGCCCAAATCCATCTCTCTCCAACCTGATCTCCCTCCCAGGTCAATTGCTACCTGGATGTCCCACAGTCACCCCTGACGCAACAGGTCCCAACCCAAGTTTGTCATTGTACCCCAAACCTGCTCTTCCTCCTGCGTTCCTCACTTCAGGCACAGAAGACATCACCACCCTCTCAGCCACCGCCGGACTCCTCCTCCCTCCTGGCAGCTACTCCGTCTCCGCCAGGCCCTTCCCATCCCGGAAGTCCACCTCCGGCATTTCTCCATCCAGTTGCCAGCTCTCCTCCCATCGCTCCTGCCTCCTCACCCCCTGCACCCCTGCTCGCCCCTCTCTTCTCCACCCCACACCCCCATACCATCCTCCTCCATGCTTTCCCTAAAGTGGTGAAGGAGAAAGGAGGGCTCTGGATTTGAACCCCACCCCCATCCTTCCCATTGGTGGGAACTTGGCGAGGGATGTGACAGTAGTTGCTCATTTAACCTGTCCTAGAGGACAGTAGGGCAAAAGTGAAGCAGCCATGGTCCCTGTGCTCCAGGAGCCCCAGGCTGCAGCAGGAGATAGAAGCAAGCAGGCCTGGCTCCTGCCATTAGTGCTGGGCGTGGGGCCCACAAGAGCAGCTTGCGGGAGGGTCTGGGCTTTCTAGTGAGCTTCCCTCTGAGAGCCTCAGTCTCCTTATCTGAAAAGTGAGGGCAAGAACATTTATCTTGGGGAGGGGGTTGAGTCATTTGACATTTTCATTTCAGAATTCCAATGTGGCCTAGAGTCTGCATAGATGCTCAAAGCACGCTTTTTGAATAAATGAACACGATGTTACCCTTCCAATTCCAGTAGGACCTAGGACTTAGGTCCTGGATCATTTCAGGAATATGACTACGTGGCCATTCACAGGTTACACCCTGGTGAGGTATTTGTCCTCTAGGAGACCCCTCTGGGGGGGCTGCCCTCCCCCACAGGGTGGGCGGGGCTGGTGCTGAGGGCCCCCTCCCCGGAAGTGGGGGAGGGGCTGTGGGCGGGGCTGTGGAGTCAGGCCCAGCATTCCTGTGGGCTGTGGCTTCACTGGTCCGAAAGTGCTTGCACAGGTGTGCTGAGACCCAGGGCTAGGCTGGGGCTGGGATGGAGGTTCTCAGGGCAAGAGCCAGTGGGAGAAGGTAGGGGAGAGGGAGATGGGGGGCTGCGGGGAACTCACGAGAAGCCTGGATGGGCTGGATCTGATCCGAGCAGGCAGGACGGGGCAGGTGGGGCGCTCCAGCTCCGTTTCCGGGGAGACGCTTCACCTGCCTAAGCTGTGCTCAGGTGAGCCTGGGGGAAGAGGGATTAACAGGTGTTGTTTCCAGGCTGGGCCTGAGCCGATTGGCTGACGTGGCACTGCTCCTTCTACTGGGCAGAGGCATTCTTGGGAAGGGAGGGGCCTCTGCCTGCTGCTGTTAGGGCTGGAACACAATTCGCAGACCTGGGCAGCAGGAGGAATGTGTACCTGTCCCAGAGCCTGAGCCCCAACGCACCCCCAGCTCCAATCCCAGTTTAGCTTTAGCCCCAGCCTCAGAACCTAACCTCAACTCCAGCCGCAGTTCCCACTTAATTAGCACCCCCAGCTCCTGCTGCCCATCTGAGCTCCAGCCCCCAGCCCCATCTCCAAATCCAGTTCTAGTCCCTGCTCCAAATACAACCCTAAATTTGGCTTGAAATCTCAGCTCCAACTTCTAAGTCTAACCCAAACTCTGAACTTAGGTTCTAGACCCCAACCCTACCCTCAGCCTCAAACCTGACTCCTGTTCCTGAATCCAGCCCCCCAAACCCAATGCCAACACCAGCTGACCCCTAAACCCAGCCCCAGTACCTCCGTCCCTTGGCCCCGGGTTGGAGCCCCCAAAAGCCCCTTGTTCATTCTTCAAAGCCTCAAATGCCTGGCCCAGGCAGGCCTGCCCCACATGGCCAGACCCTGCTAGGGGAGACAGGATTTGAGTGAACAGGGAGGAGGGGTAAAGGCCTTTCAGGTGGGAAGAAGGAGCTCCTAGAAGACACTTCGGAATAAATGCCACCCTCCTTCACAAGGCTCACAAAGCCCCTACCATCCACACCAGGCCAGGCATTTGCCACTGGCACCCTGCCCTCCAATCAGTGAGTGGTGTTCAGTTCTGCAGGCTCTGCACTCCACTCTGCCCTTCTGGTTTTTGAACCCAGAGTTCCCCTGCCTGGGATATTTACCACTCACCAGCCTCACATTCTTCAACTGAGTTGGCACCTCCTCCAAGAAGCCCTCCCTGACCAGCAGGCTGTTTAGGAGCCTCTTTGGTATACCCACAGCAGCTGTGCTTCCCCCACAACTGCTCATACTGCAGTGTACTTAATTGCCTTTTATTTACTTACCTGTTATCCCCCACTAGACATGTGGTCCTCAGTGAGTGCAGGAATAGTGCCTGTTTTGCTAACCATCATGACCTCAGGTGCCAGCACATGGGGAATAACCAATAAATCTGTTGAATGGCTAAAGAAAGTGTGAACTGACAGGTGTGGGGTTTTGAGCAGGGAGCATATGAGAGGAAGCTGGAAGACAAGTTCGACTCAGGCTGCGCAGGACCTGGAAGGCCAGGCCGAGGCATGTGGACTGTGTAAGGTGACCATGGAGAGTTCAAAGTGTAACAAGGATGTGGCTGGGACTCTGCTCCTAAAAGGCAAATCTGGCCTTGCACCCCCCCTACTCCAGACTGGTGAAGAGGTGGCTGGTTGGAGGGGAACAGGCTGTCCTTTATCTCCTGCACCCTTATGATGCCTCTTGCTCTCTCCTTCTGATGGGGATGAAATAGAAAAGAAAAACAAAGTCAAAGTTATCTTTCCATTATCAGTTCACCAAATAACCGTGCTTCTCTTTGCCCTGTCCTGTGGAGTTGATCAGGGGCCAGTCATAACTCTAGAACAGCCCTGTCCAACAGAGTTACAGTGTGAGTCACATTGCAGTTTAAACTTTTCTAACAGCCACATTAAAAAATTAAAAAGAAACAGGGGAAAATAATACACCGAAATTGAGATATTTTATTTGATTCCAAAATACATTTGAATATACAAGTTATTAATGAGCTATTTTATAGTCTTATTTTGTACAAAGTCTTGACAGTTCAGCATGTATTTTACACTATGGTGCATCTCAGTTCAGACCGGCTGCATTTCAAATGCTCAGTCACTACCTTAGGCTTGCAGCTGTGTCCTTCCAGGACGGCACAGCTGTAGATGTCCTTCCCCTCAAGAAAGGGTTAGGGCAGGCTGGACTGGGGGGACAATGGTGTGGCATTGCAGGCTTTCACCCTGCCCTTTGCAAAGCATTATAAAGATGTCCCCTTCATAACAGAGAGGCTTGGCCCAGAGGAGCCACAGAGCAGGGGGACGGGCGGGGCTGGCTGGCTGCAGACACATTTGACATTTACTTACCCTCTAGTCCCAAGGAGGGTCCAGCCCCAGCCAGCCCCACAGTCTGGCTATCCTGGGCAGAGCTGGGCAGGGGACCCATGAGATTTTCTTTCCTTTTCCCTTCCCTTGGGGGTTTGAAGGGAGAAACAAAGCCTAAAAGCTTCCTCAGTTTAAACATTGACTGCGCAAGTCTTCATTCTACTTCTGCGTCTTACCAGTTAGCTTGGAGTTAAAGTGGAAAGGCAGGCTCCTCTCAGGGCTGTTGAACTCTGTCCCCAAAGCAGAAATTGTTGGGTAGCTCAGACGGGCGGTGATGAAGGTCAGGAGCAGGTAGCGGCCATGGGCACAGAGTGGAAGGTGTGGACCACCTGCCCTCAGATGCATCAGCAGGCCGGGCAGGATGGGGCGGGAGTACGGAGGGGAGAACTGAGAGGAAGGGCTGAGGCTGCCTCCCTGCTTCTCATGTCCCACCTCGGGCTAGTCTCAACCTGGTGGCCACAGCGAGCCCATGGAAAAGTAGAGTGGGTCATGCCACTGCCCACCTCCCTCAGAGGAACAGCGTCGTCCCACCCCCTCTAAGCCTCTCCAGCTTCATTCCTGCTGCCTCAGAGCCTCTGCACTGGCTGTTCGTGCTGCCTGGAGTGCATCTCTCCCACGTGGCTCCCTCCCTCCCTTCCTTCAGGAATGTTCTCAGAGGTCACCTTCTCAGGGAGGCCTCCTGCCCACCCCATCTAAAATCACAACCTGCCCTAATACTTTCTACCCCCGACCTTACTTCTTTTATTTCCTTTATGCCTTATGTTTCTCCTTAGCACTCATCACTCTCTAATATGCTGTATATTTTTCTTAGCAATCTGGAATTTTGTCTGTCGTCACCCCTAGAATGTAAGCTTCATGAAGGAAAGGACTTGAGTCTGTTCATTGTCATATCCCAGCTCCTAGGCTATGCGTGGCATGTGCTCAGTAAATGTTTGTTGGATGAATGAATGAATGGTGGAAAGAACACTGGTTTTGGAGCTAAACTGGTCTTGAAGGTTCAAGTTTCAGCTCTAGCTGTGTAGCCTTAGAGAAACTGCTTAGTCTCGTTGCATCTCAGTCTCTTCGTTTGTAAAATGGGGACACCAGTACTTCGTCTACATAGCTGGGGGGATTAAATAATAGAGTTAATTAATTCAGCGAACATTTACTGCATCCCTTCTCTGGAGCGGGTGTTGGCACGTGCTGGGGAGACCGTGGTGATTAGGGAGGTGCCTCCCTGCTGTCCTGAAGGGCAGGCTTGGGAACGAGTGGGCGTGAAGTGCAGCACAACCACAGGCCCTCAGTGGCCCAGGCTCCCCCACCCCATGGTCAGTAAGTGACAGTTCCCCGAGATAGACGTCTTTTGGAGTATCAGTCCCACTCACAATAACTGTCCTCGCTGCAGGGGAGAACCCCAGCAACCAGGATAATATTTTGTGACCACCACTGCGGCTGTAGTTGATGAGACAGAGTGAGCCCCAAGCTAGGCTGAAAAGATTCTCCTTTCGCTACTGAAAATTAGACTAGAGATTTTGTTTCAGCTTGAGGGCTTCTACTAATGAGAGGTGCTACGGTACCCTTCTGCCAGCTGAGCTGGCAGTGGGAAGCTGGTCTGCAGAGAGGGACAAGGACAGGAGAGGGAGAGGGGTTCCAGCAGTGTCCTAGGCTCTGGTTCAAGTCCTTGAGGGCTGGCTGCATCTCTACCATGAGATTCCATGAGATTCCAAGAGACACCCCCAGAACCAGATAATAAATTCTCCTTTTTTGCTTAAACTGGCTGGAGTTGGTTTCTGTTACTTGTAGCCGAAGAAGGGCACCCAGAGCTCCCATGTACAGAACTAGAATCTCATAGTCCCACTTATAATACATTTAATGTATAAATATATGCAGTAGGTACTTAGTAAGTACGAGTTCACATCCACTGCCCCTGCCAAATCCCACCATGTGACACGAACTAGATGAGCAATAAATACAAATTCTCATATACTGTCGGTCACAGTAGGTAATAAGTAACACTAGTCCCTCCTACTGCCGGGTGCATGCAGCAGGGTTACTTCCTTGTAAATCTGCTCCCCAGCCCAGCCCAGCTCAGGGGAGTCTGGCTGCATCTTAAACATGTATAAGTAGGCCCTGAACCTCCAGTGGTCTAGGAGAGCTCATCCCAGTGGAGTTCAGGAAGAGTGAACCCCACTCCTCGTCCTGAGATGGCTTCCTTTTCACTTCTCACTCGAAATCCAGAGCAATGATAGTAAGGGGGTCCTACCTGGGCACCCAGGCCCATCAGGCCCACCGGGGACTCTCAGGTACCTCCTGGGACCAGCTGGTTGGCAATGGCTGACCACGTTTTGTGTAAGAAGCAGGATGGTGAGGCCAGAACATCTTGCAGGGCAGGGTCTTCAGTGCTGAGAGAACAGGATGGCAGAGGAGGCTCAGCTGGGCCGCTCACACTGGCCACAGCTGATGCCAAGACTCTAGAAGAGCAGGGGGCCCAATGGATGTCTGGGGCCCAGAGAGAGGAATTCTGGAGGCTCTTACACCAGGGTGGCACAGCAGCCACCAATGGTACCAGCTGTCACACCAGAATTAAATGAGTCCTCAGAGCCCAACAGTGGATTGCGACAAGCCGAGCAAAAGCACAGTCCAGGCCTAGTCGCTTGGGTGACCAGCAGGGCCTCTGTGGCTGCTGCAGGAGGAGGTGACTGCCCGGCCTGCTCCATCCATGAGGGGTCAACTGGTTGAAGAGACCCTGTGAGGGAGGAGGGGACACCAGCGGGGTGAGTGCCTCTGGCCTCCCATGGAGTCAGGACAGACAAAGGAGAGGGAGGGCTTGGATGCCGAAGCCAGAGAACCAACGCCTCCCAACAGGTTGCTGTGGCAGCACTGAAGACAGAACATGAAGAGGTGAACAAGGCTGTACCTCTGGCCCTGGACTTACTAGCAAGAAGCTGTGTTCACTCTGTGTAGTCAAGAAAACACCCTGCGGACCTGCCGGCCGAGGCACCAGGTTCCGCAGGGTGGGGCTCTCCTGGCCTGAACTTCCTCCCCCTCCTCCTCACCAGCTAGACAGCGGCCAGGTTCAGGCTCAGGTTAGCTTGGCCTGGGAGTTTTCAGCTCCTTTAACCTCTGGTTTAGACTCTCCGGGTGTCACATTCCTACCCCCTCCACCACTTGGCCTGTGGTGTTCTGTTCGGGCGCCTCTCCAGCGCAGGGCACTGGAATGTGGGCTCGGAGTCACCAGGCAGCCTGGGCTGGACCCTGGCCCTGACCGTGCGGCCACGGGCCGGTCACTTTACTCCTCTTAGTTTTGATTCCTTGTCTGTAAACCAAGGTCTGTCTTTACATGAAATGTGATGTCTTGACTCTAAGATATTTTTCAGTTGAAAAAAATCTATCACTTGAGTGTTGATATGTCCTGGCCACAGTGAATTTCCTTCTGGGCCTCAGAAAAGCTCCAGCTTCCTCTTCATGGTTCTCCTTCCCCGTCCGTGC